AAGAATCTGATGAGGCAAACAGTTATCCTAAAGGCTTACTGACACACGGATAGATTCTATTCAAAAATAGTATGGAAATGAAATTAGAGGTAATAAAAATGACTTGACAGGAATGGTAGAGGCTGTTTGCACGAGATATTTTTGCAAGCTGTCCACGGATCAAAGCCTGTTCATAATATCTGCAAAGTTAGTTGGTGCCCATATAAAGTAGCTCTTGCTACCAACACAGAAAATGATTATACACATAAAAATACCATGCCTGAAACTGTTATATGTGTCATCAAGACAGTTTTCAGAGACCCCTCGAACCCTGACCTGTTAAGAAAATGTCTAGATGGCTACATCCAGAACGCTAACGAATCAATCAATAGCACAATTTGGCAAAATTGCCCCAAACACAAGTATCATGGATTATTAGCTGTTAAGATTTCAGTTGGCATTGCAGTACTCATTTTCAATGATGGATCAAGAACCCTAGAAGCACCCCTTGTGGCAATACAACAATTATGTTGGACCTTTCACGTCAGAAGTTTTTATCTCTACTGACACGTTACGGCTGAAAAACTCTCAGAAGAAAGCAACAGAAGCTACATTGGAAGCCAGAAACGCAAGAAGGAGGGAGCGACTTAGATTAGGGGTACAAGTTAAGTCTGAAGGCTTTCCTTATTTGACAGGGAGTCACTGATGTGAATATCTAGAATATTTTCACTAACAAATTAAAGTCCTTTGTTGTAAAATGTAACTTTTTTTTTTTTTTTTTTGGGGGGGGGGGGGGGGGGGGGTTTAGTTATCCTATTGTAACCAATCAGCATGCAATTTTGCTTGCTTGCTCACATTATAACTAGCTGCAGTAGTAGTAGTAGATTTTTACCCCACTAGGACTTCACACAGACGATACATCAGTCAGTCAAACCCAAACTAAGCCTAACCAGACACACACAATTTAAAAAAATGCAATCCTAAATTAGTGAATAAACTAGACCTGCAGATAATTCAGTTTAAAGGCAGATGAGCAAAACTTAACATACCAGCAATGATGTCAGATTTCCAGGGCGAGCGTAATATACTAGCCCTTCAAGAAACAAACCTAAAACCAAAAGATGCCTTTAAACTCCAAGGATACAAAATATTCAGGAATGATAGAGAAATAGGCAATATAAGTGGCGTCGCCATCCTCATCAATAAGGAAATAAGAGAAACAACTTCAAGAAACAAATCTGAAACCAAAAGACACCTTTAAACTTCCAGGATATAAAATATTCAGGAATTACAGAGAAATAGGCAAAGCAGGTGGTGTAGCCATCCTCATCAATAAGAGAAATAACTCAGGACAATTTTAAAACTAACAACTTTGAAGGAATATGTGTAGAAATAGCATGTATACATAAAAACCTAAAGATAATTAATATCTACTGCCCAAAAGGGGAGATAGAGGAGAATGATCTTAAGGAAATAGAAAACAGGATAACCACAAACGCAGTAATCGTAGGCGACTTTAATCGCTCACACCCTTTATGGGGTTGCAAAATAGAAAGTATGGCAGGAAAAGAACTATTATAATTTATTGAAGATAATTAATTAACAGAACTCAATGACGGGTCGATGACAAGGATTAATCCAATTCCAGGAAATAGAGATTCGGCTATTGACCTTACAATAGTAACCCAGAGTTTAGCTGGAAGTCAATAGAAATTATTAGAGGACACTTCAAGTGACCTTCTTCCAATTTTAACGAGAATTAAAACTCAACCAACACAATATGAAACTAGTAACAAACCTAATTTCAATTTTAAAAAAGCGAAATGGGATAAAGTTATAAAAGAACCTAATAACACAGAGTTGGTTAGAGCAGAAGGTGAAAACATAGATACGTTTGCTGAAAGCATGACTAATAAAATACTAAAAGTAGGAGTAAGAAATATTCCAAATAAAAACATGCCACCCCATTTCCTGGAGGGAGAAAATAAGACTTTGACTAACAACAATTAAAGAAACGTAAATAAGAACCCCGTTGCATGGAGGACACAAGAATGCACTGAGGCGACAGATAAACGTAAAAGGGCTCTGCAGGACTATAGAAAATTCGGGTCAACAGAAAGATGGCAAGAATATGTTAAACACAGAAAGGCAACTACCAAAGTCATTCGCAAAGCTAGGGAGGCGCACTGGAGGACATTCTGCCAAAAACTGAACCTAGATACTGCAACAACTGAAGTGTGCAACTAGATTAAAGTCATAAAAGGAGAAAAAAATAAGAGAAAGGATCCCTACAATGCAGGTACCTGCAGTGGCAATTCATGATAAAGATAAGGCAGATTCTTCGTACAGCTCTTAAATGAGGTCTGTTCCAATGATAAAATAATAATTTAAAAAATTTAAAAAACAGGGAAAAACAGGATGGCCCTAAATAAAGAGATTAGGACAACTAAAATCACAATTAATGAAGAAAATTCATACCTAGATGCAGATATAACTACTGAGGAGGTTAACTCAGCAATAAAAGCCCGATATTCCTAACTATATTATAATGAAAATACCACCAGCAAAAACCATTAAACAGATTACTGATTTCTACATTGAGATCTGGAAAGAGGGAGAGATTCCAAGAAGATGGAAGAAAGCAGCCATCATACCCATTAAAAAGGATAATACGGACCCTCAAAAAGTAGACTCATATAGACCAATATCTCTAACATCCCACCTCGGAAAAATATTAGAAACAGTCGTAAATAAAATAACATTCCACATGGAAAAGAATAACCTGTTTAGCAAAACTCAGGCAGGGCTCAGATCTAACATATGCACCCTCGATCAAATTATACAATTAGAGGACCATGTTAAAAAGTCATTTAAAACAGGAGGTAAGACAATAGCAGTGTTCCTGGATCTTAAACAGGCATACGACCAGTGCTATCGGCCAGCAGCCTTGTTTAACCCTTTCGCTGCTGTGGACGAGATAACTAGTCTGCCCGTCAGACTGCTAAAGACGAGATAACTCGGCTGCCATTTTGTGTTCCCTCACTGCTAAGGACGAAATAACTCGTCCTCGACATTTTTTTTACAGATTGCTAAGAACAGTAATTCTTAGGGGTGAAACCCTTATCACGTGAGTTTGGGCGTATTTTGATGCATTTCACGTTATCCTGTTGCTTTGTTACCATAGAAGCATTGTCAGTGAACGGTAATTTTTTTTTTTTTTTTTGCCCTAAAAATATATTTCTGCTTTTGCGTTAGTCTACATTAAAAAAAATAACAAGAATTAATGGAGTTTCTTTTAAGGAGTAGTAGTAATGATCACTTCGAAACGTGTGAGTTATCTGAGCTGGGTTATCTTCGCAGCACGCCGGCCGACACGTGTACTTCTGGCTGTGAACAAGACTGACCAGTGACCATATGAACAAGCTGTCTACATCGACTGGATTTGAAACGGATCCAAAATAATCAAAATAAAGATTTGGTCACGTACTGACATGATGATTAATATTAATGTTAATAATATACTATACAACTGACATAAATGTTTTTGTCTATTAAAGTGTACAATACTGGTGTTTTTTTTTTTTTTTTTTTGAATTCATGGTTTTATGTGAATTTCTAGTGTAGTTGGTATAACGTCTGCCTTACAATCGAAAAGTCCATCGTTCAAACCCTACGTGCCGTTTTCTTTTTTCCTTAAATAAATTATTTTTAATGCAAATTTTAAATTTAAGCTCTTAGCATTTTCACCAAAGTAATAATTAATAAAACATCCTGTCACGTGCGTTCAGGTGGATTTAGATGCCTTACACGTTATCCTGTTCCTTTGTGAAGCGTGGTTGGTGTACTGTGCATTTGTTACCGTGCAATATTGTGTCTTTGGATAAGTCTATATTTCCTTCATACAAAATGGCAAGACAATTTGTTAAAGTTGACAAAGAATTTATGGAGTTTCTTTCGAGGAGTGATAGCGAAGATGACTTTGAAATGTGTAGTTCTGATAGTGAGCAGGACAATCTTACTGTGCCATCGACATCGACGGGACAAACCGGCGTGGCCGAGAAAAGGTTGATGGCACGTCCGACGTCCTCATCATCATCGAAATCAGAAGGTAGTGATGATGAAGTGCCATCAAAACGACATAAAACTGATCAGCTATCCTGGTCTTCCAACGACTTGCGAACCGCTGTGCATACGTTTGATAACTCCCGCTCTGGTTGTCTTTTAGCTGCTGTGAATAAAAACAGCTTAGTGCTTGATTTTTTAAAACTTTTTTTCACTGAATCGCTGGTGACTTTCATCGCAGATCAATGTAACAGATTCAGCAAGTATGTTATTGAAAAGGGACCTGCTATCGTAAGCTCTCGTCTTTGCAGATGGACAAATACAGATTTGGACGAATTTTTTTTTTTTTTTTTAAATTATTTTTTTTTTAGCTGTGTGTCTACTCAGAACAAAGAAACTCAAAATAAATGAGTACTGGACCAAAGACTGTTTGCTGAGAACGCCCATGTTTGGTGAAATTATGTCGAGGGACAGATTTTTATTATTGTTAAGAATGTTGCATTTCTCGGACAATAATGCTGATGCAGGTGGCGATAGACTGTTCTAAATTAGACATGTAATCGACAGGTTGCGTGCATTGTTTCGGGGGGGGGGGGGGGGGGTCTTTTCGCCTTATCGAGATGTGGTTGTTGACGAGTCGCTACTTCTTTTCAAAGGAAGGTTGTCATTCAAACAGTACATTCCGTCAAAGAGAAGTAGATTTGGTGTGAAAACGTGTGTTATGTGTGACTGCAGAACTGGGTATATTTTAGATTTTTTAGTTTACACTGGTGTCAACAGCGACATTACTGTGTCAGGTTTAGGGAAAGGGGCTGATATTGTATCCACTTTGCTGGCGCCATATCTACAGAAGGCCACAGACTTTATGTAGATAACTGGTACACAAGCCCTGATTTTTTAATTGGCTTCATGGTCAGGCTACACATGCGTGTGGTACTGTACGTAAAACAAGAAAACACATGCCCAAAATGGAGCAAAAATTAAAAAAAGGAGAAGTTAGTTCCAAGTCTGCTGCGTGTTTATTAGCTATAAAATGGTGTGACAAACGAGAGGTGTGGATGCTGACAACATGCCACGATTCAGGAATGGTAGCAACAGAAAAAATAGACAGGAAAACTGGGTTAAATATTATAAGGCCACAATGTTTTGTGGATTACAACAAATGCATGGGTTCAGTAGATCGTACTGACATGCTTCTTAGTTTTATTGAATCTATTAGAAAAACTGTCAAATGGTATAAAAAGGTTTTTTTCCACGTTTTAGATCTCTATATTTTAAATGCACATTCATTATATAAAGTTGTTGGGAAAAACACTCCTGTTGCCGAATTTCACTCAATGTTAGTAAGAGAAATTCTACAGAAATATTGCAAGCAAAAGAGAAAAAGTGTAGGAGGACAAAAAAGTGAAGATCTGCCACTTCGTTAAGTACAAAGGCGTTTCCCTTCAATAAGAGTCCGTAACATCGCAGAAAAAATTCCCAACAAGAAAGTGTGTGGTATGCGCAAAAAGCAAAAAACCACGGGAAACCAGATACATGTGCAAGGAATGTGATTTGTCATTGTGTGTCGCACCTTGTTTTGAAATATTTCACACACAAAGATATTATTAATAATAATAAAAACCATGTATTTGCTTACTAAAGTGTTTTGTATTTGCTTTGTAAGTTTGTAGTGTTTTCTTTTTGTTAATGAGTTTTCATGGCGTAGAAATAGCGCGTCTGACTTGTTAGCGCAAAGTTCAACTACACGCCTTCAACGAATTTTTTTAGGTGTACAATTTTTTACCCCGTGCCGCAAGCGCGTTTTTTGCTTTTAAAGGAAAAAACAGTATTCAGCACAGGAGGAAAGATTAGCTCTCGCATGGTTTAGCACAGTGGTTACGTTGGCTGGCGGAGGGCACAGTAGCGAAAGGGATAAAGCAGCTAAATTAGGATTCACAGGAAGAACCTATATATATATTCGAAGCTTTCTACAAGATAGAAGATTTTCATTACTAGTTAATAACGAAAGATCACAAACTTACGATCAGGTTAATGGAATCTCAGGGTGCTGTAATATCCTCTACCCTGTTCAGTATATTAGTAAACGACCTTGATGATGCCATCACGAACAAGGACAAAGGACAAACTCAATTCGCGGACGATTTTGCAATCTACCTCAGCCATAATCAGATCCCCTGCGCTAAGAAAAGACTACAGAAAAGTCTAGACGAAGTACTACATGGATGAGAAAATGGGGATTTAAAATCAACGTCGACAAAACAGTAAGCATGATTTTTAACTTTAAAAGACAGCTTAATTATGACCCAGAAGAAACAAGACTCCAAATTAATGGTAGAACAGTTCAACGGACACGTTCGACGAAATTTCTAGGAATGATTCTGGATGAGAAAATGTCCTGGGCTAAGCACATCGATGATCTCGTAGTAAAGTGCAAAAAGTACAATAATATGCTGAGAATGATTAAAGGAAAAGGATGTGGAGCACACCAGGACACCATAATACAATTTTATAAAGCTTTCGTTATAGGAAAAATGGAATACGGAAGCGCAGTATACGAATCAGCATCAGAGAACAGCAAATGCAAACTTGATAGGATTCAGTGCCAAGCTCTGACTTCCATCATGGGCGCTGGCAAAGGGACACCGAGAGAGGCCATAGAGGTAGCACTAGGCATCACACCGCTTAACCTCAGAAGAAAGCAACTAACTTATAACTATTGGATGAAAGCGGCCAAACATGCCAGACACCCAGCTTCAGACGCTTTTCATCATAACATTACCCACCTAGGTGACAGACCGATCAGAGATATACTGAGACCAGCAGCCTGGGACGCTGCACTAGAAATTAACGATAATGAGGACTTGGCTATTATTCTGGAGGCAAGCGTTAGGATTGTCCCTCAAATCCCTCCATGGAGACTAGAGCTGCCCAGGACAGACATGAGTCTGATGAAAATTATTAATAAGAATACTGAAACATTTGAGGCCAAAACAATAACAGAAGAATATATAGACCAGATCCGATCAGACAATCTGGTTGCATACACTGACGGATCTAAGAATGAAGCAGGAGAAGTAGGAGCAGGAGTAATAATCCCACAGTGGAATATGCAAAGAGAATATAAAATAACAAATCATGTGGCAGTATGCACATAATGAATTATTTGGCATAATGAAGGAACTAGAGATGGTATTTAATAAACTTCCAGCTAAATTTACCATACTGACAGAATCATTGTCCTCAGTGCAGACCTTAAAAACACATAAAACTAGCATTAGACCAGATATTAAAGAAACGATTTTAAATCTAATAACTCAACTCAAGAATAAAGGATGCCAAGTCACCATTGCATGGGTACCAGCACACAGAGGTGTAATAGGCAATGAATAAGCTGACCAAGCAGCCATAAAGGGAGCTAAATGTGAGGTTTTAGTAGATGTAGGACTCGGAAAAACTGAAAGGAATAGCATAATCAAACGACACATAATTAAAATGTGGAATCTCCAATGGCAAGGGTGCACTAAAGGCAGAGATGCCTACAAAAACCTTATAAAGCCAAGCCTTAACACACAGGGACGGGACAAACTAAAAATCTCAACTAACAAACTACTATGGAAAGCTAGGTTAGGGTGGCATCCAGAGAAATTTACATCTCTACTATGTCTGGACTGCTTTCAAGATAATACAATAGAGCATTATATAATAAACTGCACTAAATATAAATTGGAGAGGAAACACATTGAGGAGTATTTTCTAAAACGCAAACAACAGATTACTGCAAACAAATGTTTAAAGGTAGATAGCAATAAAGACATCAAAAAACTTATTAAACAGTACCTAATAAAAACTAAACTTAACTAAAAAGACCAGGTTGATGATCAACTCAGGACAGCAGAAGGAAGTGATCAGATGGTGACTCCGGACACGCTAGCGTAAGGGGGGTAGTGTAAGTATGATTAGTGCATAGATGTGAACCTGGATGCATACACAAGGATGAGTGCGTGTTGGATGAGTGCATTTATGTTTAGGATGAATACATAAGATAAGACGTATGTAGGCGGATGGTAAAGGATCACGTATGGACAGGACAACGGGAATATAGCTGTGCGAAAGGTACAGGTGAACGAGTACATGGATATAGAAATGTATTACTGTATTCATGTATATGTGGGTATGAGTGTGCATGTGTGTATATATATGGGAGCGTGTATATTTATATATTTGTGTGTGTATGAATGACAGTGCACTCAAAGAACCCATAAATTGTGTTGCTGCATGGCTGTTGATTAATGAGAACAAATGAAATAAAGTGTGTACGCAGCAAGAACGTCATCAACACACACCATTCACCAGAACATGATAAGACAGTACCGGACAGGTCACATACCAATAACGGGGCATAACTTAAAAAGTGACACGACCAGACGATATTACAGACATAGCGACACAAAAAACGCACAAGACACGGAAGAGTGAATGTCCTTACGTGTGGATGTGCTCGTTTTTTTTTTTCTTTTTTTAATGTAAGTACAGGCATTGGTAGACGCATATGAAAGTGTCTGCGTGTGTACTTAATGTCAAATAGGTATGCATACACGGATAAGTATGAAAGGACGTGCATACATAGAGTGTTGTCTGCGTGTATGAATACTCGAGTGCATGTACGCATACACCTAGTTGTGTGCGTCCATTTACTCTGGGGATTCATACACAGAACCATCCCATTCCACAGCATGCATACAACATGCACATGGCCGGTAGGACTCACAACAAGATATGACTGACAGCAAATAGGAAAAACAAGTGATTCGATACTGACAGGACTAGAACACATAACCACCAATACCACCCCATCACTTGGATGATAGCAAAGGTTGGTAACGTGATACACACAGTCCCGGCAAAAGGCCACGCTAGAATCCAACAAGACGGCAACGACGAGAAATGACTGAATGGCCTCCCGCACCCTTTCCCCTCACCCTTCCCTAACTCTTTCAGATGCACTATGAGTTCAACCCCCCTCCCCCCCCCCCCCAACCTATTCCCACAGAGAGCACTTGAGTTCGTTACCCAACATGCCACAGCAATTCTCATTGCCGAACATTTGGATCTCAAAGCGTGAGCTGGATGCTCCGGTTATATGGTATTTACGTACACCGGAGCTTAGCTATCAACACAACCTGATCACATAATAACAAATGAAGACGGGACCCTCTTAAGGCTCCACACTAACCCGTTAATTTTACAGGAAGACAACTATAAGACTACTATGGTCACACGCGGAAAATTTTCACATTTCGAGACTATTCAAATTAAAAAACTGTTTTCAGTACTTTTTGGCAAAATAAAATACTCAACATTTTAAAACAATAAATGGTGGTCCAAAGGACGTTGTGCATGGAAGCTCGCTCTCCTCCGAGGTACGTCTAGCCAGATCAAAGGGAAACAAAACAAACATGAAATACCAAGAAAGAAGAAGAAAGACATGCACCAGTGACAAAAGGTTGGAGGACGATGGGTTTGATTCGGATGGAAGCATCAAGCCCAGAAATGGCACAAACACTAGAATTCAGTAACGAAAGTGACGCAAATAACCCAAACCACAAATATAGGAGGAGACTGCTAGCAGCCTCGGCTAGCTAGCAGCAGTTAGAACGTGGTCGATCCTTTTTTTTTTTTTTTTTTTTTTTCTTAAAAAGGACCTGTAATCGGACATCACACAGACGATTACCACCCGAAGACACAGAGGGCCAACATGTAGATGAGGATCAACGTGAAGATGTCCCAGAAACCGCGTTCAGCCATTAGCCCATATTTTTGCAGGGCTATATTGCGGTCCTTGGCAAGAGCCCGGATAGGGCTTCAAATAAGGAAAAATAGCATCTCACAAGGAGATAACTGGTTTATATCACTAGCTGCAGCTTATTCTAGGGCAATTCTAACATCATGATTGTGGTGTGTTTTTTTAATGTAATTTCAAAATTGAAATTTTCTTAACAAAAAAGAGACAAATTGCAGGTAGCTTTACGTAAAATCTAATAAATGTGTACTATTTTCCATAGAATGGGCTACTCTTACACCATTCCTGTATGTGCAGTATAATTTTAAAGGAGTTAGGCTGTACCATTTCCATATAAATACTTGAAAAGTAAATTATGTTTTTTGCCTATGTAAAAACTAATGTTTAACTTTAAAAAATTATGATTTTAAATGTATTTATTGAATCCCAGAGAAGTTTGCTTTATGTGATAGCTGAATCATATGGTCATAATGTCTGAACATGTGAGTGTTATCTTTAAAATTGAATATTTTAACGATTTTATTTATAACGCCACTCATTCCCCGCTAGTACCCCCCCCCCCCCCCCCCCCTTTAAACAATCCCTATGCCATTGTCGGAGTCAACTCAAATTAATCTCCTACCA